TATCTATCTATGTATCGATCTATCTGATCTATCGATCTATCTGATCTATCTATCTATCTATCTATCTATCTATCTATGTATCGATCTATCTGATCTATCGATCTATCTGATCTGTCTATCATCTATCTATCTATCGATCTATCTGATCTATCTATCTATCTATCATCTATCTATCTATCTATCTATCTATCTATCTATCTATCTATCTGATCTATCTATCTATCTAGTGGTAGGCTGAGATCCAAATAATGAACTGTATTTGAGAGAGTTACTAAAATTAAATAAGATAGTATTTGTGCTTTTCAGTTGTGACTGAAAATAGTGTTAATATTTTGACACAGAATTTGTATAGCTACAGGTTTGGGTTGTGGGATTTTGGGGTAGTATTTTTTAAATAAAGGGAAAACTCTGTAATCATATTATCTGACAGAAAGGTAGACTGTGTTAAGATGGCACGTCAGTTAGAAGTAGCGTTTTCCCTTGGGTTCCCCTGTAGTAAGTACTGATCTGAGCACTTCCCATTTCTCTAGGTGTAATGGGGGCAGTGGTGGCTCCCCTGGCAATCCTCGGGGGGCCTCTTCTCATCAGAGCTGCATGGTACACGGCTGGCATTGTCGGGGGTCTCTCCACTGTGGCCATGTGTGCGCCCAGTGAGAAATTCCTGAACATGGGCGCACCCCTGGGAGTGGGCCTCGGTCTCGTCTTCGTGTCCTCACTGGGTAAGCCGCTACACTTTGACACTCAGTTCTCAGTTCATAATGTCCTAAAACCGTCTGAGATGCTCAGTTATCCTAATGGAGGGAATTCATTAAGAGTCATTCTTAAAGATTGTTTGAAAGCTATGTGCCATTTTGACTGGATTTTATTATTTTGCGTCATGACAATCTTCACAAATGATAAACCGTTATTATTGGTTTTTCCAAATACATCTAAAACAGGATAGGTGGACTGGAGAACATGAGAATTGCTCTGATTCAAGAGCCTGCCTATCGTGTGGGCAAGTAGCGCTGGAGGAATGAATATCATGGCTGTGATCTAATGTCCATGATATTAGACAGCGCATATACCAAGTTACATGTTTTCTTATTTGCACATTATAACACATATATATATTTTTTAAAGTAATGGAAGTTATTAATTCCAATTATAGGAACATTCTTTTTTAAAAAAAAATTTTAATTTTTCGTATTTTGGTCCCAGGATCTGTGTTTCTTCCCCCAACTACGGTAGCCGGCGCCACACTGTACTCAGTGGCAGTGTATGGTGGGTTAGTTCTTTTCAGCATGTTCCTTCTGTATGATACCCAGAAAGTAATCAAGCGTGCAGAAACAGTACCGATGCATGGAGCTCAGAAATACGATCCCATCAATTCGTAAGTATTTCATGTCTTCATTCTTAAGTAAGGCCTTTGTGTTATTTTGACCTGTTTTGTTTTATGACTTTGTGGTATTTAACGATTATATTTCTGTTTCAGTTTGGTCTGTTCTCTCTAGTTAACTGTGTATCCAGAAAACTTTTGATTATATTGCAACTAAGTGTATACTCAGTCAGTCAGTTCAGAGTATCTTACCTAGTTTATTAACTGGCCTTCTGGTGCAGTGGTTCATTGGTTACACTTCTGGGTATTGTTGTAGGGTAGAAACATTACAAAGTTGAGTAGAGCAAAAAGAAAGTTTTATTCAGCATATATTCAAAAGGGCAAAAGTGGGAAAAGGGACACACATGCTGCCACAGCCGTGTCTGCCCGAGTCCAAGGAATATTACAGAACAGGCAAGAGTGGGAAAACGGACAAGCGTGCTGCCACAGCCGTGTCTGCCCGAGTCCAAGGACTATTACAGAACAGGCAAGAGTGGGAAAACGGACAAGCATGCTGCCACAGCCGTGTCTGCCCGAGTCCAAGGAATATTACAGAATAGGCAAGAGTGGGAAAACGGACAAGCATGCTGCCACAGCTGTGTCTGCCCGTGTCCAAGGACTATTCCAGAATAGGCAAGAGTGGGAAAACGTACAAGCATGCTGCCACAGCCGTGTCTGCGCGAGTCCAAAGAATATTACAGAATAGGCAAGAGTGGGAAAACATACAAGCATGCTGCCACAGCCATGTCTGCCCGAGTCCAAAGAATATTACAGAATAGGCAAGAGTGGGAAAACGTACAAGCATGCCGCCACAGCAGTGTCTGCGCGAGTCCAAAGAACAGTTACAGAGCCATCAGTATACAGTAACATTACAAATAGGCAAAACCATTGAAAGCTTAGCCTTTTCAGATTGGCTAGAAACTGTGATCCTACGTTTTGAATTGTCTTTCTTAACAATCACTGGTACAGGTTTCAGTAGTGGCAGTCAGGAGGGTCTTCATTGGTCCAACAAAGTTTCTATTCACTAAATGCTAGTAGAAAAAGAGTAGAAAGTCTTTTGTGTTCTGTTTGATTGGCTTTATGTGAAAGTTTCCCTAAAAGATATTTTCCAAGATTATCTTAGCTATTGTCTCAGGGCCCAGTTGATGTGTCCTTGTGAATCCTTGCAAACTCTTGGGAGCCCAGCTCCAGCTGGGTCTCATTCTCTATGCTCAAGGACAGGGAATAATAACTCCAATATTATTTCCTAAATCAGTATAAAGATTCTGTCTTGGGAATGAATGTTCAGCTCTCGCTGACATTAAGTGCTATGCAGTAATGCTGCTTGTCCTTTCTTGGACTCTGCCCAAGTAGGTTATTTTCTTTAGATATTTGTCTTGAGTTTCATGGTGTCTGTCACATTTTTTAAAAGCGATTTGTTTTTCTTTATCTAAAAATAAAATTTAATAGTTTAAAAAATGTAAAGCTTACAGATTTGTAGCAGTTTTCTTTAGGGGGCAGGAGATATTTTATATTTAAAAATGCCAGACTTATGTCTTAACAAGTTTTTGTAAAGGTGTTTCTTTGGTTTTGTTTTGATTATTTCATTGTCTGTCACCCAGTTTTCTTTGCAAGATTCTAAACTTGTAGTAGAATGTCAGAGGATAGAGTTAGGATTTAAAACACTTCCCTGTGACATTTACAAGATTAAATTATTTTTAATTTCCATTTTTATATCTGTGACAAATAATGAGTGTTGTTTTTTCTTTTCTGGATTAAGAAATAGTTTATCATCTTGGTTAGAATGGCATCATATATAATGGGCATAATTTTCTTTTCTAGGATGATGAGAATCTACATGGATACATTAAATATATTTATACGAGTTGCCACTATGCTAGCATCTGGAAGCAACAGAAAGAAATGAAGTGACTCTATCTGGCATCTCTAATATGTAGATATCTTGCTGGTTTAATTGGGACAGATATTCATTAAATGGTTTGTCCAGCCAGCTGTCGTTGAAGTTTAGAAGATGAGAACACGTCAGCATATTTAAAACATTCCAGTATAACGTGATGCTTCAGGTCTGCTTTTTCTTCTGGAGAATAAATTCTCTTCCAAATAAGCACCACATTTCCACTTCTCATGCTTGAGTAATTGTAAAATGTTTTAACGAATATGAAAACTAAGCTTTTATTATGAGAATTTAAGTATTTTATCTATTTTTAAATTTATTTAGTTAAGTAAAAGTTAGCAAGCATGTGTTTACCTGCATATGGTTGGAATGCAGAGTATGGTAAGTAATGCCTTCAGTGACGTAGAGGTTTGGTAAAGGGACCGGAAATAAAGGGTCACCTGCGGTCTTTCTTTGAACTTAGGACTCAGCACTTGAGTAGTTGGTGAGGAGTCGGTGAGAATCGTCTGGCTGTTTGGAAACAAGTGATCACTGTTTGTACATTTATCTGGTACACTTAGCAGAAGCTTTGAGCATCAGTCAAAGACCTAGGTGACTCACTGTCCTGCTGTTGGCTTCTCAGTGTCTCCTTACAAGGTAGATGTGGTCACGGGGCCTCATTGTTAGGTAGCCCAGAATGTTAATCACAGGGGGAATCCCTACTTAGATATATGTGACTTTTACTTTTGAATCTTCCAGAACAAACTGTCTTTAAAATTATTCTCAAGATAAAATTTTCAAAGCATGAAATTTGTTGCATTTTCAAGTATACAAATAATATGTTCATAATTGCTGAGGGTTTTCTTTTTTTTTTTTTTCATATTTATTATAACGTGTAATAGAATACATGCTTGCCTTTCTCATGTCTTCAAGCTTTGAACCCAGGAAAGCCTGTTTGTGGTTTACACTTGAGTCCATGGAAACAGTTTTTCTCTTCAGATACTGGTTTCTTAACCTTCCTCACAGTAAGCACTAAAAAAAGCAAGGCAAAGCTAGTTCTGTCTTGTCCTAGGGTAAAATCACCACAAAGTTACAGTGAAGCAAGAAGAAAGATTTTATTCGGCATGTGTTCCAAGAGGCAAAAGTGGAAAGCGGACAAGCATGCTGCCAGAGCCATGTCTGCCCTAGTCACGTGATAGAATCATCGGTATATATTAACATTAGAGATGGGTAAAATCATTAAGTTTCACCTTTTCACAGATTGGCTAAAAACTTCTAAATCACCGTGATTCTACATTTTGAATTGTCTTAATAATCATTGGTACAGGTTTCAGTGATAGGAGAGTCTTCATTGATCGAACAAATCTTACTGTCTACTAAATGCTAATAAAAAATGATAAGACTGGAAAATATGTGGGTCTTTCGTGTTCTAAGATTTGTTTATGTGAAAGGTTCCCTAAAAGATGTTTTCCAAGATTGTCCTAGCTATTGTCTTCATACCTCAGGGCCCAGTTGATATGTCCTTGTGAGTCCAGCCCCAGGTAGATCACATTTGCTATACTCAAGGACAGGGAATAATGGCTCCAATTTTAACTCCAAAGTCAGTCTGTGAAATGTATCAATAGAAAGTGTAATGGGGAAAGTGCTTCATTAGAGTTTCCCCTGACAGAATTTTTCTTCTCTTACGTAGACCATTATTTACCTTCCTTGTGACGTTTGTAAATTTTTTTGATACAGAAGAGTTATTTTTGGAAGTCTCTAAGAAGTGAAATAAGTACGTATGATTATTGAGATGATTGCTATTTTTGATATTTATTACAGTAATCCAGAAATAACTATTCTTTCTCAAAGTACTGTTAAAAAATATGATCATGTATTCAAAAGAATAACAATATTTGAATGCCCTGTGATTTAGTAAGCAATTTGATATGATAAGCATGCAAGAGGAGCCTCCTTCCCGAGAATGGAGAGTTCACAGAGACTTAAGTAGCTCTTGTTTAAAGACTACAGGTCTTCATGGTGTTGAAGTACTTAATGGCTGCTTAGTTAACATTAAAAAGTAACTTCTCACAAGATTTGGCCCTCCATCCACCTGCGGTCGGGAGACATAGACATTTAAATTAATAAGTTCATGGATAAGGAAATAAAAGTAAAATATTTTTAATACAATTTGATTCCACAGTACATTGGATGCTTCTTTCTGAAATAGTAAAAGTTCTAGCCAGATGGTGACGGTTAGTAATTTTTCCAGCTGAAGCACATGCATACCATTGACTAGGGGATTTGTTCAAGAAGGCAGCTTAATCTACTGCAGTATAGTATAGTGCCGTGTTTAAGACCATCGTACTTGTAGTACTTGTAGCTAGACTGCTTTTTGAATTCCAGCTCTTCCACTTGCTTCTTACGTGACCTTGGGCAAGTTACTTAACCTCTGTGCTCAGTTTGTGCATCTGTAAATAACAGTACCTATTTTACAGGTTAAATATGCCAGCACTTGGTAAACACTATATAAATTGTAGCTGTTGTTCCTGCTGTTGCTGTTTTCTTCCCGAAGTAAAGTATAAGTTACAAACTTCCATTTCCTGTTCCTGCCATACTACCTGTAAGGTATCATTGTAACCTTAAAGGGCCTATTGTCTTTAGTGGCTTTTTAGAACCCTGAGTTTATGTCCTTATTTTTTAGTAGGAGCACTCACAGAAGACAACATGATACAGCCTTAACAGTATCAGGCAGAAGTTTATTTAGAAAGTCAGGATTTTTTTTTTCTAATTTAATGACTTAACACTTGTTGCCATCCAGTCGCTTTCAATTCATAGCTACTCTGTAGGACAGTAGAACTGCCCCACAGGGCTTCCAAGGCTGTAAATTTTTATGGAAGCAGACTGTCATATTTTTCTCCTGGGGAGTGGCTGGTGAGTTTGAACCTGCAAATTCAACCTGACCCTACCAATGCCAGTAAATTTCTATTAGAAAAGACTGCCTTAAACTAGCCCAAGCCAGATTTAGCCTGCCCCACATGCACAGAAGGGCCAGCCATGACTGTTAGTTGACCTCAACAGAGGATGCAGCAACAGGTAGAACCAGAAGGAAAATCATCACCCTGACCCCATTCCGAAGCAAGAGGTCTGACGAGAACTATGTCACTCCCTGTTTCCTGGCTGCCATAATTCCTACAATGTCTTCTCTACGTATTCTTTCTAGAATTTTCCCTCCCCAGTATGCCCGCACGGCTGCCATCTTGCAAACCAAATCACATTTAAGCCCTGCTTCCACTTAGTGAGTTGGAACTGAGGACCTTCCTCCCACTCCTTGCTCTGAGCGCTGCAATAAAGTTACTTTTCCTAGGTCAGTGTCCAGATTATTGGCAGGTCTGAGCACGCAGGAAAAGAACCCACCTTCTAGGTTCGGCAACACAACCTTTCAGCAGCTGAGCACTTCATGGTTCCTTTATTTAATGACTTGGTGTCCAGCTTTGTTAAGACAATGAGACTTCAATAGGTGGCATAAAATGTAATTACTTACAAAAGTTCTAACATGAGAGAGAAAACACTAGTTTCTTGGCACCTGTTAACATACCGCTGTTTTGTTTTTTGTTCTTTTTCTCTCATCATTCACACAGAAGAATGAAGACCAGCAAATCGATATGCTTTAGGCAAAAACAAGAAAAATATCCATTTCTCACAGATACGTGGTTAAAAATACAAGTAAGGACTCAGTGCTGCTTAGAGTAGTACCTAATGAACGTGCAATCAGAAAACATGAATGCCTCTGTGGTTCAGCTAGCTGGATCCAGAAGAGATGAGTAAAAGGGAGTCACCTTCCAGAGTAGCACCCCTATGTAAACTCACCACGACCCACTGTGGTGGGTGTCATGGGAGGGAAGTGAACACTGGAAATGGAGCCAGTGATATGTTTCCAAGATGTCCCACAAGAAGGCCTTCAAGAGTAAAAAGAGGAGTTAGACCAGATAGAAAAGGATTGTGAGGGCATTTCACACAGGGTAAGCGGGAGGAGGAAGATTGGAGGGAGCAGAGTGGGGATGTAGGAAAGATGGCAAGAAATGTAAGTCCCCTTGAAGCCTGGTTGCCTGCTCACAGCAGGTGTGTGCTTTGAACCTCTGAAGGTTTTCTCTGCGCTTAAGATGTTAGAACGTGGGAGGAAAGGCAAGCGTATTTTCCTCGAAATTGTTCTGGGTGAGATGTGTCCGTTTTGAACATCCTGAAACTGAATGACACGATTGAATTTTTTACATAATGTGTGCTAAGCTTTTTACATGAATCTTAAAAATCCTATGAACTAGTAACCACTATTATTCCCATTTTACAGAGATGTAACCTGAAGCCCAGAAGTTGGTCTTTGCATAAGGTTGTATGGCTGAGAAGGATACATTGGTAGTGCTGATCCTCATAACCAATTATACTGTGAAGTTTGTGGAAAGTTTGTGATGAATGCTATAGGACTAAAATCCTGTTTGATGATCACAAAAGCCTGTACAAATTAAATAGGTTGGGATCTGCTAAATTATAACTCAATTTTATAATCACAAGAACCAGTATTCTGAGAACCTCAGAATTTTAATGATTATCAAAGGGGCTTAATTCCAGTGTCTAGGATAAATGGCAATCATATTTTACTTTCCGAAAGTCCTTTTCTCTACTCCAGTCCACTCAGAGCTACAAATCAAATAATTTAAGTTCGGTATAATCAGTAAAATAGAATCCCTCCTAAAATTACTCAATTTAGGTAACACTCAAAATGGAAGCCATTTTTCCGGGAAAAAATATAAAAGTTATGACTTTGAGGACTTTCTTCTTTCAAGCCAAGTGTTCTCTGTGAAGCAATTCAGGAAGATGGCAAGAGAAAACCCCCAGTATTAGCACTTAAGAACAACAAAAAGAAGTATATTGTGCCAGAAGCAAGGATGAAACTAAATAGAAAGCAGATGAGGAAGAGGGAATATGGAACATTCTGAGCCCAGCAGTGATAGCTCATGGGGCTGCTGACCAATTAGCATGAGGACAAGTCCAGCACAAGTTTTCCTTCATCCATTCTGCCTTGTTAGTAGCTCGTATCCATTCCTTACCTAGTGCTATATCAGTTTTTCTAAGGGTGCTTCTCCCAGCCTTACACCTGCAACTCAGAGGCTCATGGGTGGTGGGAGTGTTACAGCCTCTTTGGCTGCAGATAGAAGCCTTTTGGATCCTTGTCTTAGGCTGGGTAGAGAAGTGAAACCATAAAGCATATAAATGTATATATATATAGATTTATATCAAGGAAATGGCTCACGTGGTTGTAGAGGCTGGAATGTCCCAAGTCCCTGGGTCAGGATAGAGGATTCTCCCAATGCACCTAGCCACAGGGGCTGTTGAACCCAAGATCAGCAGGTCAGAGAGCAGGGCTCTTGTCACAGGCTGTGAAGATCGATGAATCCCAAAGATCGGCAGGCAAAACAGCAGGTAAACTTCTAGCTCAAGTCCCAAGAACAGGAGGTCAGATGAACAGGAGCCAGCTGCAGGATCCAGAACGAGCAAAAGCCCACAGGCTTTGCCAGAATATCCACTTATATTCAATGCAGGCCACATGACCAATGAAACTCCCTGTCAACTGACTGGCTACTCACAGCAGATCCCATCATGGAGGTGATAATATCAAATCTCATCATGGAAGTGATCACCCCATCATACGACTATCAACCACTGAGAATCATGGCCCAGCCAAGTTGACACACAACCATCACAGTCCTCATGGCTACAACCAGAGATACAGAATTTGTATATTCTGGCAGGACCAAACTGACATTCATCTTTAACTAGGCACATGTTTAGAAACAATTTTTAAACATTACATTCAAAACAAATGCTGTCTATTGGACACTGAAAGCTGTCTGATCACCTGTAGGTGTGCTGTCAGATGGTTGTCATTCCTCCAAGTAACCCTCGTGTGCCCAGAACACATGGACCGCCTCACCCAGGGCCCAGAGAGGTTTTGCAGACATCACAGAGCTTGGTGAAGCAAAGCTCATAACGGCAATCTGTAGGAAGGATGTTACTTTTCTAGTTTTTTGGGTTTTTTTTTTTTTTTTTTTTTGGCTAATTAATGGTGGTATCTCAATTCGGAAGCGACTCAATGGCAATGGGGGATCTCAACTCTAGTAGGTCGTATTTTTCACACTTTAGCATTTCTGAAATGTGCATTCAATGTTATGACATTTCTGCAAAAGTAATTAAATCAAGAGCATGTCTTAAAATCAGTGGCATTTTTGTAAATTGAGGAAATAAGATTTTCTAGTGGTTTGTTTTCCATCATTATCTAATTGTCCTGTAAGGACAGGTATTTGAAGAAGGATTATCTTTTGAAAAATGTCTGTAGCAATTAACTGATGATTCAGAGGAGATCTTCCCAAAGAAAGTATAAACAAGCTGGCCCCACCCAGTTATGTACTTGGTGCAGGTTAAATGAACTGCTTTCTCAGCAGTCCAGAATGACTCTCAAACAGGAGTATGAATGGGAGTTGAGAGAGAATACATTCCTAGTTTGGTATGATCTGACTGTTCATAAGGAGAGTAAGAGAGTTAATAGGGCCATTCACTTTGGTACCCCTTGAGGAAATTAAGTCTTAGCACCAACAGTGGGGAGGAACAAGGATGAATGAGATCCTTCCTACCTGCCCTCACAGTCTGACTGGGAACATAGTCTAGAAGGCAGAATCTGATGGGCAGCAAGGATGGGGGTGCCCGGGAGGAACTGACACCATTGAGGGAACAGGGACCTGGCGACCTCAGAGCAGTGGGCAGTGAGGACGGGGGTGCCCGGAAGGACCTGTGGCCCTGAAGCAGGCGGTGCCATGAGGTGCTTGAGGCAGAAGCCCTTTTTGTAGGTGAGGCATTTAGGGCCTAGACAACACTTTTTTAAGAGACCAAATCAATATATTTATTAGGCATTCTCCTAGGTACCATGTAGTTAGAAACACACACTTCAGTGACTCCAGATAATCATGAAGTTATTTTCCAGAAATGACAAGAGTTATCCAAACTGATTGCTCCAGGAGTTGAGATAGGGCGGTGGCTAGAAGGAGCTAGGGGCCTGGCCTGGCGGGAAGAACTACCGGGCCCAGCCCCCAGGGGCAGCAGCTTGGGAAGTGTCCTGACCTGCCTTAGGAGAGAACTCCACCTTCCTTGCCGGCAGGAACTTGACGGGAATTGGGAATTCGTTTCTCTTAAAAGCCTCTAAAATCTCCGCGGAGGTGTTCCCAGGACCACACTATGCCACACTCACCACACCAGGGTGCGTCAGCAAAGATGCGCCTACGACCGCCTGCCTGATAGTCACCAAGAGGAAATCACGGCAAGATTTTCCCAGTTGTTCATTCTGAGTGGTAGAAAACTGGGCATTTGGTAGGAAAACAGGGGTTTGGTCTCCTGCTCAGTATATCATACCTGCCCCCTACGTAGTTTATTAATTTTTTTTTTTAAAAGGAAAGCACTTATGTAGAGAAAGTGAAAATCATTGCAACGCTTTGGAACAGCGCCCTCTGAGGCCTTTGGCACACCTGGTCCCTGAGCCCATTAAAGGAGGGAATGTGGAACTGGGCCTAGAGCATCAGGGGCCTCTTCTGCTGCAGACAGCCCCGGCGCTGCCAGGGTTAGTTAACCCAGGAGCGCAGCGCTCCACCGCAGCACACTGACCTTCTGTTCCGGGGCATGCGAGTGGGGGGGCGAGAATGAGGAGAAAAGGTGAAGGCACCTTGCTTCCGGGAAGCCCACTGCCAATCCTGGAGGCCCAAGACAGATGCCCGAACAGAAGCCATCCCAACCCTGCCTGCGTTCTCCAGCTCTAAGGAAACGCCAAAGCCAAGTGCAAGGCGGGCAAAGTTTGGACCTTCGGCACTCGCGCTTCTCCTCTCTGTAAACGCGCCCTCTGCCCAGGCCTGCCCCTGCTCTTAACTTTCGGCAGCTCTGCTGGTCTTCTCACCCCCTCCATCAACATCTGCATTTGGAAATAGATCTGTTGTCACTCATTTAGCTCTGAACCTTGGTGGTGTTTTTGTTTTTCCTTTGCTCCTAACTTGACAAGAAAAATGGTCATTAGTCCCCCATTGAAGAAGCATCAGATATCCTTGAGCACATGTGAGAGGTTGCGTTTCTTTTGGACACAGCAGGTGTTGTGAGTAAGAGAGGGAACGCTATGCACCACACACTTCCCTTCTGGAAACTGGTCACATAACAGGGTATGTCTTAGGGTGGGTTCTCTAGAGAAGCAAAACCAGTAAAGTTTATAAATATATAGAGATATTTATATCAAGGAAATGGCTCACATAGTTGTAGAGGCTGGAAAGTCCCAAGTACCTGGATCAGGCTGAAGGCTTCTTCTGACTCATGTAGCTGCTGGGGCTTGTGAACCCAAATCAGCTGGTCAGACAGGAGGGCTCTTGCTCACAGGCTGTGAGACCACCGAATCCCAAGATCGGCGGCAGGCAAGACAGCAGGTAAACTACTAGCTCAAGTCCCAAGAACCAGAGGTCAGATGAACAGGAGCCAGCTGCAGGATCCAGAGCAAGCAAAAGCCCACGAGCCTTGCCAGAAAGTCCACCTATGTTGGAGGCAGGCCACATGCCCAAGGAAACTCACCTTCAACTGACTGGCTACTCACAGCAGATCCCATCATGGAGGTGATTACATTATATCAGATCTCATCATGGAAGTGATCACATCATTATATGACTGCCAAACCACTGAGAATCATGGCCCAGCCAAGTTAACACACAACCTTAATGATTACACTGTATAACAAAAAAAAAAAAAAAAAATCATTTATTTTCACGTACAACAGTACTTCAGCATTACGCCCTCATCACACTGATCTACTCCTCTTTAGCTTCAGCCACTGTTTTACACTGAAAGAAACTGAGGCACAGAGAGTTCGAGCAACTTGCCCAGGGTCACACAGCTAAAATACAGACAAGCTCTGGTTAGAGCCTGGGTCACGTGTCTCTAGAGCCTGTGCTGTTGACAAGTGTAAGAGCAGTCCAAACCCATTGCTGTCGAGTTGATTCCTACTCATAGCGACCCTATAGGACAGAGTAAAACTGCCCCATAGGGTTTCCAAGGCTGTAAATCTTTACGGGAAGCAGACCGCCACATCCTTCTCCCGCGGAACAGCTGGTGGGTTCGAACCGCAGATCTTTTGGTTAGCAACTGAGCACTTAACCGCTGTGCCACCAGGGCTCCTTGAAAGACAGGTGGGGAGACAGAAATCAAATACAAGGGGTTTGAGCCCCCACTCCAAACTGAAACCATGGGGTGGTGTGAGGTGTTGGGGGACAAAAGGGAAGAAACCCCAGAGAAGGAGCAGGTAGACAGACAAAAGCAAAGGGGCTGTTCCCATTAGGGTCTCTGAGAGGCAATGACTTCACAGGTGACCCAGCACCAACATGGAGGGTCCCAGGAGTATAGACAAGACAGTGCTGCTGGTCTCCCCGGGCTTCCTTATGTCGCAGCAGAGATCGTGACCCAGCACAGTCTCCCTGGAGGAGTCCGCAGGCTGGCTGGCCACCATGAGGAGGCAAGGTGGCCCCAAGCCAGGGAGGAGGGAGACGGGAGTTACTCTGGGAGGAGTCACAGCATCACAGCATCAGTGGGCGCCAAGAAGGCAGCAGGGCGGTCAGTAAGTTGTGGGCTGAGGCAGCAGACCTCAGGCTTACAAGCCTTGACTTCACTAGCAGAAACCCAGGGACAGGCAAGGCCCCATGGGTTGGTGGCTTATGAGTACGTTTGTTGTTGTTGGTTGCTGTCCGGTCAGCTTTACACAACATCCTGCATCACGGAGTGTATGCTAAACTTCTTCAGTGTTGTGGGTTATTTTCAACTACTTTAGTTCTCGTAGAACCAATGCTGGGAAAGAACTTCAGCTTTGGAGTCAGACAGACCTGGTTTCAGCTGAGAAATTTCCTAACATTTGTGAACGCCACTGTTCCCTGTTGAGCAAGATGACAAACGCCGGCTTCTCTGAGGTGTGGGGGGCGGGGGTTAAATGAAAAGACAAGTGAAGGATCCTGCCGGGGCCTGCCTCCTTCCTCCAGTAAACTGTTTTGCAAGCATGTAAAGAAGTGAGAGTAATTGCTGTTCAACAATACCCTCCATAAAACTCTTCTTGAAGAAAACTGCAGCGTGGCCAGGGGTGAAGGGTGCGGTACAGGCCAAAACACTTTTCCCTGAAAGGGTGGGGACACTTCTGGTATTTTCCTAGTTGATCTGAAAAATTGTTCTTCCTTGTAAATTCCCCTGCATGTCGGGAAAAATCAAATCATGGTGCGTCTCTAAAGACATTTTCTCTTGGGAAGGCAGCCAGGTTTTCAAAACCATCTTTGGAAAGTATTCAAAATCTCAAGTTTGATTATTTTTGTACCCAAACTGCATATGCTTCCAACTAACAGGTGTTCCTGTTAAAACGCTTCTCATTTTCACCTCTCTCAGCTCAACATGAGATTTTGAATATTCTAAAGAGCCAGAGGTGTTTCTTCCTTTTTTAAAGTAA